TGGTCTATTTAAAGAAAAACTTTGACTACGTATGTAAAATCATAAATATTGTTTACTGTAAAGCAATACAAATTCAAATATTTCTGAACAAGTCAAAAAAGTTATTATTACTTCAGTATATAGGTCGCCATCAGCCAGTGAGGAAGTTTTCATAGAAAATCTTGAAAAATACCTACAACAAACAAACAATTCCCAAGTCTTTTCTCATATTCTGGAAAGAGATATGAATTTGAGGTTGAATGAGTTGAATAATAACACCCACAATTACTTAGATATCTTGAGCGAACAGAACTTCATATCTATGATAAATAAAAATACGAGAATGCATGGTAATGTAGCCAATTGTATTGACCATATTTTTTTTAAATCTAATGTGACAAATTTCGAAAGAAATTGTATCTCCATGGTTTTGGAAAATCACAGAACTGATCATAAAGCCTCAATCCTGGGGATACCAATAGATAAGGTAGAACATCATGCGAATACTTCTGTTAGAGACATTCAATATATCAATTATAATGGCCTAAGAGAAGACCTAGATAAAGATAAATATAATTGGACCAATTATTACTCTGAAAGTAATGTTAACATTTTGGTTAGCCAACTAAGTGACATATTAAGTTCTTTAACTGATAAAAATACAACCACAAAAAAATTGAATAGGCGCGAGATCAAGCGAAAGCCTTAGATCACATCAGGTACTGTAAATTCTGTTATCTAATGAAAAAAATCGTCTATATTCTAAGTACTTGGTGCAGCCAGAAAATGAGGAGGTGAGGATAAGATATCTGGAATATATGAAAAAATTAGAAAAACTCATACGAAATGCTAAATACAATTTTTACAAGAAACAAATAAATAAAAACAAAGATACTCCTAAGAACTTGTGGCACCTATTTAATAAACTCTGTAAAGGCAGTTCTAAATATGCAGTCAAGGAAATAGTAGATGAAAATAAATTATGTGATTCACCAATAACAATTGCGAACAAGTTTAACGATGTCTTTGTAAATATTGGCAAATACTATGTTGAACGCATTGTGAGGCCAAACAAAAATAGAGCGCAAAGGAAAATAAATCAAAGTACATTTTTCTTAGAGGCGGTAGATGTAACTGAAGTAACCTCAATCATTGACAAATTAAAAAATAGGAAATCGCCCGGTTTTGACAACTTGAAGTCCGAAATATTTAAATATACAGCTGACATTATTTCAATGCCGCTATGTCACTTAATCAACCGGATTTATATTTCTAATGAAGTCCCAGAAGGGTCCAAAGCAGCTTTAGTTACACCTGTCCATAAAAAGGGTGATGTAAAAAGTATAAATAACTGTAGACCAATATCTGTCAACATAATTATAGCTAAAATATTTGAGAAAACATTGAAAAATAGGCTAGTTAAATTTTTGGACAAATGTAAATATCTTTCAGATAAACAATTCGGTTTTAGAGAGGGAATATCAACTAAAGATGCAATTGCTAAGTTAACAAAAGAGATTAGAAAAAGATTAGAATTGAGTACACCGGTACTGTGCGTATTCTTGGACCTTGCCAAGGCCTTCGACACTGTGAATCACCACCAGATGTTGGAGACCTTGGAGGATGCAGGAGTACGAGGCGAACCTTTACAGTTGTTTGCAAGCTATCTCTCAAATCGAAAACAAGTAGTGAAGATTAGTGACACATTCAGTCATGAAAATACAGTTGATTACGGTTTATCTCAGGGTAGGTACTCTGTTGGGTCCAATCTTGTTTACAATTTGCATTAACAGCATTCTAACTTCTTCGTCAGTTGGTCAAGTGTTTAGCTTTGCTGATGATACGGTAGTCCTGTATGATGATAACACTTGGGAACATGTAAAAATTAAAGCAGAGCGGGATCTAGGAAATAATTTTGATTATTTTGCTCATAAACTTTTAACCGTAAGCTATGAAAAAACATTCTTTATGCCTTTTTCTAATACAGTACGTTGTCTACCTCAGTATGATCAACTCTTAATAAATCAAAGTATATATTTAACATCTGTGAAAACCTATAAATACTTAGGTGTCACATTGATCGCCACTTGAGATGGGATGTTCATATTGCTAACATTACAAATACCTTACGACAACTCTGAACACACCTGAAAATATTGTATTATTCATTAGTTGAATCACGTCTACGATTCGCTATTTTGATTTGGGGAAGTACCGAATATTGTCATTTGCGGCCTCTGGATATACTGCAAAAAAGAATGTTGAAAGTAATATCTGGCAAAAAAATTACTTATCCTTCTGATAAATTATTTTCAGAGACTGGAGTGTTTGACCTACGGCAACCTTTTCTGCATGAATTAATTCAATTCATATACAAACACAAAAACAACTTCAATAAAACTAGCCATGCATATAGTACTAGATATAAAGAAAATGAAAACTTAAAAATACGTGTACCGTATGTATGTTGATAAAATAAACTCATTGTCTTTGGTAAAATCTTTATTTAAAAAATATATTTTTTTAATTGGTAGACAAGAGACACGAAATCTAGTAGAAATTATGTACTAGAAATCGTACTACGCTAGTATTACTCTTCATCACCCTCAATATTTCTGTAGTTAGTGGAATAAACTTTATTATATAAGTGCTACTCCTACTTACCTTCCATACTTACAATGTGCTTGTTGTATAAAATCCTGCTCTAAGCCAAATTTATTATCAAAATTATATAAAAAAAAATCTGCCCGTGCACAACTAACTATTTTGGTTTCAATAGGCTTTACAAGACAATTTAAAAACTTTCTGTGATTTATAAAACATGTTAACTTAAGATTATTTTGTGAAAGTCAGGTATTATGTTTTATTTTACGTTTATCATTGTATTGAGGTTAGCATTTGTATTTATTGTCAAATTGTATTTTGGGAGAAAAAATAAACGTATACTACATTTGTGCTTCAGTCGTCGACGTTAAAATTGTAATTCAAGCTCACATATCAAGTAAATGAAATAGTATTTTCGTTATTTTTCACTCTCTATTGATGTATAAATATTAGCTATTGTATTGTAGAGAAAATATTACTTTATTTCCATTTTCGCTAAGATCTCCGTAGTTCTTCTCGAAAAGCCAATGCTTCCTTCCGATCAAAAAATTGACTTTGAGTCATAAGGTTTTCATTAGTAACATCTAGGAATCGCTAAAATGTTAAGACTGAGTTTTTAGTTATAGAGGAAAGACAGTTATATTATACCCATCTTTAAGATGTACCAACTCCATATTTACTGGTTTGTTGATTTCTAGCGCTATCTGGAACAATTTGGCACTACCAGGAACGGATACATAACAAGAGTCGACGATTCTTTTTTCATTTTTGGCCTTTTTCTCCACCTTTACTCGAGCGATTTGCTAGAACTACAAAACTTTGTCGTCCTTGGCATAATAGTAACCTTATTTAACAATTTCATCCAAATCCCAGCACATCGATAGACAGGCAGACAGACAGACCGACATACAGACCGACGTAAATGAGGAGTATGGTTTTTCGTGAACATGTCATATAATATCCAAAAAACTTAGTAGTTCATTTTTATGTACTTTTTTGCGACTACACTATGTGTAATTCTCGCCAGTAAGCGTGGGAGGTAAAAAAGGCAATCAATTCGGTTCATTAGTTTGGAAGTTTTTACATTGGAGGTTAAAGGTTATTCAACGAGGTTAATATATCCCACAAGAATAAATATTGATTCGTCTTTTGAGGAAATATACACTGTAAGAGATAGTCTAAAACTGTTGGATAAATAGAATAATGTTTCACCTAACCGGATTTTTATGATTACTTTTGATATTAAGGGTCCTTGAAACAATGTCATTAATATTTTGTTCAGATGCCCCGTTCTATAGAAATATTTTCTTGTTTGAAATCTTAATGTAAAAAATCAACTATCATCTACCTCCTCTATATTTCTAATGTACTTAGCAATATTGACAGTAAGAAGTTTGAGTTTCGAGCCTTAACTTCTGGCCCAAAACCGAGTTTCAGAACTCACGTCCCATGAACACTTTTTATTACCATGGTATATACTATCAATTTGGCAGGTATTCTTTTAATTCCACAGAAAATACATACATACATAGTGTATTGAAAGGGCAATAAGAGACACAATGAGCGTGTTACTTACTACTTAACATGCTTTTCCAAATTTGAATTTGTATATTTCTCAATGGACATTGGCAGATTTTCTATGTCAGTACTATGTAACTAGTTCTACAGATCAGTCTCAGAATTTCGCTTTGGCGGCGTGGAATAGCCCATTTAGGTAACTACTCGTATCCGTTAAAGACTGATGACTTGAGAAACGTTTATGAGCATGAATTACCCTCAACACCTAACTGTGTCTGAATTCGCACAAGAATTCCAGCAGTTGCTGAAAGGAAGCGGTCAAGTCGTAGGTATGCGTAATTGCTTTTCCAATAAAAACAGGTCTAATTAAACCGCAGCGGTTGTGAGGGAAACAAAAGAGCCGAAGAACGAAAAGCCAATCAATGAACTCGAACCAGCAACGCGGTGCGGAGCGGTCTCTTCAAAGCCAGAACTTAATATGTTAATGAGACAGATTATTGCAGAACACGTGTGATTTCCGTCCCGGTCTCCCCTAAATAGTCACTTTTTCGGCTCACACGAAGCCGAGATCATTATAGTCCGCCCGCCATCGTCTCAATCTCGACCATTGAATATACGAGAGCAGAATAATGGACTTGTTTGTTTGTGACCCACAACTGCAAGGATGTCAAAGCAATTATTTTATAAATTAGCAGTATGCACTGTGTTAGATTTTAACAAACGTGCATAAATGACGAGGCTACAACTATCCAACCCTTATGGAGACCAAGTACCTAATAATTTTTTCCTACAATTTTGGCGACAGCAGATTTTTTTGGCGGTATCGTTAGATTATTGGTTCCTAATGATAAGTTGAAATTGGTGGCAATGATATGGCTGTGGCACTTGTCGCCATATTGATGTAAGCTTATGAAATATCTCAAACACATTTTTGCATGCGAGTCCAACCCTATAGCACACAAAATCTTTCCAGAAGATTCACAAGTCTGGTTAGTGTCACTCAGAACGACGGCCCGTAAGCCTGTTTATGTTACACATTCCATTCCTTCTCTGGGTACTTATTCCCAGGGTAAACGTTCTTAAAAACGCAGGCGTGGCTCGCTTCTCAGTTCAAATAATGCGTGGAAGACATCGCTTCTCAGACCAAGTAGTGCGCATTGTGGACCTAATTACAGTGTTGATGTGCTATTGGGTGTAGTCTTTTTACTTGAAAGGTGATCAATCACCGAGTGTTTCCTTTATTCTATTGTACTGGATTTTGAACCATAATACTTTTATATTCATGATCATGAATGTCTTAAGCCATGTTCATAAAGCTGCTAAACTTTTTACCTTCATAATTTAATTTATGGCTTACGACTTGTTGTTGAATATCCGCAGGTGGGACGCCTCCAGGTTCTGGGGGAAAACGTCAGAGCGCTTGGGATGCTGACACGGTGGCCTTGGGCCGAAGTGACGTCCTAGGTCTGAATGACCACTTAACTATCTTCTCTTGACAATCGCTGGAGAGTGAATGTATTTCATGGCAGGATGTGTGAAGGGATTGTTACTTCAATGATAATCATCTTGCTCTCTGATTCAGGGGTAACGTCGGAGCTCTGGGATATTGACAGGCCAACGTGATATCCTGGTTCCTGGACTGCCTTTTTTGTAACAATCGTTAAACTCTGCACGTCTGTCCGTACATCAACCGACCTAAGGGTCTGTGTGACGGTCAGGATCATTCTGTGTGACGATACCATGATACAGTCTGTATGACGAATCCTTACTAGTACTTGTAGTTCACTAATATAATAATAGTAAATAGTAAATGTGTGCATGTGATGTCATGAGTAAGTCTTTTTCTAAAAATAGCCGTTTGCTTCGACAATCCGATCATATCGCCCTTATCGCTTTGCAAAGGGGGACACAACTCGTTGCTGCTTCGTCAAGTTCAAGTAAGTGGCTTTAATATTATCCTGACATTGTTGCCGATATCGAATTGTTTACGTAATGCTCTTGTAGTAAAAATGAAGTGATACACGGTGGTACTTCCAAACCTTCTCACATGGGTTTAAGGTTTTCACGTTTATCTCCGAAACCATCGATTCTATGTAATAAAGTGATAAAAGCAAGTTTATAGGGAATCAGACTCTTTATCGTTTTGCTTCAATAAAGATTTGACATATAGTCCACCAGTTGCGAGAAACGTAATGGTAAAGGTACATGGAATGATATTTTCGCTTATAATGGCTAAGATAACCTAGGCCTAAAGACTAGTATCTCTTTTGTAGAGGATAAAACTTTCTACAAAACAGGTCGTTTACGTTTTATCGACACCACGATGGTTCTTCAAGTATAATAATCGAAAGCTAAGAATTAGTATACAGCAAGTTTTCACGTGGTGACAACTCCTTAAGTCATTATCTATGATCAAGTATACTAATTAAATTTCAATCTATGTTTTTACTGCCACGAATAATTTATGATGCCTCCATCATCTCTACTCGTCCTTTAAAATCTCTGTAGAGGTTACTAAAATTACTCGGTGACAGAATCAATAGACCGACTAATAGGGGTGAGTGACTTGATCTTCATAATCAAAACGTCGCAAATTATTAAAATATACTACAATTTCCATAGTTTCAGGCAGTAGAAACATATCTACATCATAAAATTGTCTTTTTGATTACAGATAATAACGTGGAAAAATCTGTAGCGTGTGGAATATGTCGCGCGACTGTTATGATACGAAATGTTCAACTTTCCCTTCTTATACTCCTAGAACCATCAAGGCGTCGAAAAAATGTAACATGCCTTTTTTTGTAGCAAATTTTATTCTCTACAGAAATAGTTGTCTTTTTAATCATAGATTCTCAGTCTTTATCCTTTAATCTCTCGTGGGCTATACTATAATTTTAGAAAGAAGCAAAATGATAAAGAATTTAATTCCCTACATACGTTTGGCGACCAACGCTCTAGCCCTGTCGTGACGCAAATTCTAGCTTATCATTTGAAAGCAATAATCTTACGATACCGCCAAAAAAACTTACTTTCCTTATACAAAATCTCCCTCTTGCTAGCTTCTATCTATTGACTATGGTTCTTGAAACTTTGGTCCTGCGATGACTACTGTGTACTGGGTCTCGTGACTGCTACAGTTAGTATAAGTTGGAGATATCCCGTTGATCTGAGTTTTGCGCTGCCTTGCTCCAACAGAACCGGTGAAACTTATTCTGACCGATTATTCCAATTCTTCGTTGCCCTATGCTCCAAAGAGCTGTGATACCCGCCAGTTTTCAGCCACACAACTTGACCGAGTTAAAATGACATACACAATCCTGGAAAGCCTACCAGGTAGGCATTATGAGAAAGAACTCAGAGGAACAATGTCCGCAAGTATATGAGCGGCTCCTGTAAAGTGTGAGAATAGTCTGCGTCTATCGATTAAGAAACTGGCCCCGATAATGAAGTGCTCAGATGAGAAGCCGATCCCAGTCGTGTAAATAATATTGCAGGCCGGGTCTTATAGACAAGATAATTATTCGTATTGGATTCCTCATATAAATAAAGGAATCAATTAAATCGGCACCTTGTGCGGAGCCTGGAGCTTATATGGTGAAAGTAATTTTCAGTGATCAAGTAGATGAATCGACTCACATAGTTTCGTAAAATTTGGAGCTCTAATCTATTTGTGAAATCTTAGAGATCAGATATCAGCCAATTACCTTATGCTGCACGTGTCTAATTGATGAGTTTGATCTGAAAAGTGGATTAACGTTACTTGTCAGACAGTTTTCTGTCTCTTCCCTTCAAGTTATAAATGCTTGGGATTGGGTCAGCTTAAAACATTTATTAAAAATACGACGTTTAGGCGACTTCAAACGCCATCTTCGGTACTTGTGAGCTTCAAGAACTAAGCAAAAGCGTCAGAAATTAGAACATGAAACACGTTAAAAATGAAAAAAAATGTAAAATTAAAATACAGAAAGACTTACCAGTATTGAAATTGTCCGGTCTTTGTCTCTAACTGCATTTTTAAAATCAAATTCATGCCCGTTATCAAATTTATATTTGAGAAACGAGGTGGACGTACAAATATCATTTTTAATTCTTATGTCATACTCATGCATATACATCGGTTTCTTTATATATTGTTTAGTCTGCCCTATATATGAACTTGGACAATCCTTGCATGTTATTTTGTAAGTCAGGTTGCTTTGCACATCTTTTTCGACTTATGGTTTTAGGTTTGACATTACGTTTTTAGTTGCTGCAACAGGTTTATGTGCTATAGGAACTTTTGTGTTTCGAAAAAACTCCATCTATGTTTTCAGGTAGATCTGCAATATAAGACAGCGATATGAATTCGTATTCTAGTCGTGCCGTTTATAATTTGAATTGATACCAACCGCCAGGAGAACAAAACTGCAAAGCAGCTTTTGTTTCTTGTGCTAATATTTGCTTAAAGTCTAAAAGGTAGACTTATCTAATGGTTACTCTGATGGTTTGGAAAATCAAAGTTAACAAGTATTTCCTAATTGAATGACAATATTTAAGGGGGCGATTTTTGTGTCCATATGAACGTATGTCCTTGACTTTTGAGATATAGTGTGGTAAGGTTTCCACAAACAGCCAGTAACACGCTATTGGCTTTTCCTAAAATGAAATCTCTATTCGTATGAGTAGATTTGATCTCTTGAATTTTTTTAGTCCAAAGCACGGCTTTCACATAAAAAAATAAAATCTATTTCTTTGTATGGTGATATTGTCATATTAGCGGTAGGTATTGTTACGATCCTGCAGAGGAACGGCTTTTATTAAGCGAAAACCATGCACCATGTACCTTAGAAGTGATTGGGAGTTTCAAGAATGATTATTATATTGGATAAAGTCAGTGGCATACCATCAATGTCTGCCAAAATAGGGAGATGAAATTCTGCTCGGACGCCACCGGCGCCGGTCGAAAGAAAGTGATACACTAAAAAATGCCTACATAGTACATGTCTGACAAATTTCATCAAAATATCCAAAGTGGTTATATTAATTATTTATTATATTAATAATAAATGACTAATTTTACCAGCCCGAGACATTCACGACATACATTCGTATAAAGTTTTCTGTTCAAGTGAACCCAATAATCGCTGCCTTCAATATTGACATTCAATTAGGAAACACCTTCTATATGAAAATGTTAATCAGATCTCTCTTCTCAACCTATTGTCATTGGTGATCGATCATTTGCCTCTATTTTGAGTTCAGAGAAATGCTTCTTGAAGGAAGAGTTCTAAAATTTTTTGATTTGGTCAGATCACCGTACAGGATACTGATTTGATCTCTGACCTATGATGCTACCTTTGGCTATCAATCGTTCCAATCCTTCTCCTTTGCTGCTGATATGATCAAAGCACCTGAAGGTATTTCTGTCCATTTATGTGATTTGATCGACATAATGCCATTTTTGTGAACATCCGCCAAGTTCCCTTATAAAATTCTAGCTCGTGTACCATATCGCCGAACCGAACCTAAGGATAATCGATCATTTTTACACCTCGGCCTCTCCATCCTTTTTTGCGGCGTTTCACAGCGATTTAATTATCCTTTTCTATATTGAAACCGATCACATATCATGTTTCACAAAGAGGCCGACCGTTTAACGATTCTGTGTTATTGGTTTCTCCCCGCGGTTACGGTGCGGCCAAGCCGACTGAATCAGTCGTCTCACTCTCAAAAGGATAAAAATTTTAGTGGGCAGACTATATATAGTACGGGCCAGGGCATTCATTTTGTATCAACAGATGGAGTTTTTGGGCTTACATTGTTGACGTAATTAATCCAAGGCAAGCACGTGTCTGAAGCAGACTTCTCACAATATTAAGGTTCGACATTTTATTTTTCTTATTTTAACTAAAACCGAGGGATTTCGTTGTTAAAAAACGGTCAAAGAAATGTGAGTGCAAAATATTAATATTTACGTCGACGTAAAGCATTTTAAAATCAAGGATCGACGCGAGGCTAGAAAACGTACCTGTACGCGAAACTAGACCGCGTTACGTCAGTAGCCAGACACGTGCTGTCATCCTCATCCTTGTATCTTGTATTGTCTTGTGTACGGAGTAAAGAGTATACGAATACGAATTTATATAAACTGGGACCGACGTTTGTGTACTTTATTTATTTGTGCTAGCACAATGTTCCAAGGTTATCAGAAAGCTAATTCGCGAGAT